CATTACCATCCTACAATTAATGTTTCCTATTACAATGTTACAGACACACTATAATTTAGCCAACATATATTACTAATACTTTTAAACTTTATTATCAAGACAATAATCCTTTTGGGGAGAAATACTGCTAAATGGTATTACAATAATTCATTACAAATAATTATAAATAACATATAAGAAGTAAGAATTAGCAGTATTTTCTTCATTTTAATAAGGAACAGAATAAAAACAGAAGTACTTAATATTTTTCATTCTATCTTTTTCTCATTTAGATGTTTTTTTCTGAACTGTTTAATTTTTACTTTCCCTTCAACTTTATTAAACAGTATCACTACTGGAAAGGTACGTTTTAAATAAAATGTGGAGAATACACAATAAGCATGTTGTAACTAACTAAAATATTATAACAAAATTATAATAACAGAAAACAAGTTTGCTAGGAACTGGGTGCAGGAGGATCAACCACAGAAAAATACAGGGACATTTAGGCGTGACGGAACTCTGTGGTGCTGGTTACATGACTATGAATTGGTCAACAGCTCGTAAATAAGTCTTAAACAGGGTTAATTTTACCATATGTAAATCATGCCTTGAAAATAAATGAAAAAATTTTACAAAATATTACAGCATTTAAGAAGATCTCAGGCAAAAGAAGTCTGAGGGAAGGAAAAATTAACTTTCCATAGCAAAAGTCTTAAATAAAACATTACATTATTTTACATGTTGGCCTATTTTCATCTCTTATTGAATAATGTCTAGCTAGTTTATTAAGAGCCTGAATCTATAATAAATGGCTTTGTTTGATAAAATATTTTTCTTATACGTGTTTAGGTCCTGAAGGCAATAGCAGGGTTAAATAAATCAATTAATAAGGAAAAAGATGATTGTCAATAACATAAAAATAATTATTCTTGATTACTTACAAGAATCATTATATAACATTACTAAAATCTTTATTCTAAACAACCTTATCTTCCATCATATTGATTATTCATTAAAATCCAAAAAGTACACAGCTAATGGAAATCTTTGATATAGAAAGTTATGCTGGAAATCATTTTAAAACTAAAAAATTCAATCCATTGTTTGACGACATGAAAAATGCTCACTGAGGAATAACACTGGTAACTGACCTAAAGGATCGAAGCTTACGAAGAAGTACTCAAATTGGAAATTGTCTTCAAGACACACTTCCGGCTTTTATAACTTTTGAACAGCACACTAAAGACACAATGAGCTATTTTTTGGTGTGTGTGTGTGGACAGTATTACAGGTATGTACCATTTTCTCCCTTTTTTCCCCCTCCACCCAATGCCTGCCCTACCCCAGGCCTTCCCCATACAATTGTCTGTGTCGTGGGTTATGCCTAGAGGCATATATGTTCTTTGGCTAATCTCTTCCAAAGTTTAGCCTATGTCTATTGGTCTTCTGTATGTCCTCTTTGGAGGACTGTCTATTGAGGTCCTTTGTCTGTTTTTTAATGGAATTGTTTATCTCCCTAGTAATAAGTTGTATGGTTTTTTTTTAATATTTTGGAAATTAACCCCTTATCAGATAATATCATTGGCAAATGTGTTCTCTCATACAGTAAATTCACTTTTTATTTTGTTGATGCTTTCTTTTGCTGTGCAGAAGATTTTTAGTTTGATGTACTAGCATTTGTTTATTTATTTTTTCCTCTGTTTCCCTTGCTCTAGGGCCTAGGCAATATATCAATGCAATTATTGCTGCTTGAGATATCTGAGATTTTCCTGCCTATGTTTTCTTCTAGGATTTTTATGGTTTCATAACTTACATTTGAGTCTATCATCCATTTTGAGTTTATTCTTGTGTGTGGTGTAAGTTGGTGGTCTAGTTTCATTTATTGCATGGGCCTGTCCAATTTTCCTAACACCATTTACTGAAGAGACTATCTTTACTCCATTGTATGCTCTAACCTCCTTTGTCAAATATTAATTGATCATACTAGCAGAGGTCAATTTCTGTGCTCTCTGTTCTATTCCATTGGCCGATATGCCTCCCCATGTGCCTGTACCAGGTTGTTTTGATTACAATGTCTTTGTAGTATTGTTTGACTTCAAGTATTGCAATCCCTCCAACTTTTTTCTTCTTTTCAAGATTGCTGTAGCTATTTGGGGTCTTTTTTGGTTCCATGTAAATTTTTGGATCATTTGCTTTATATCTGTGAAAAATGTCATTAATATTTTAATAGGGATTCCATTGAATCTGTACTTTGGATAGTATGGACATTTTATTGATGTTAATTCTTCCAATCTATGAACACTGCATATGCTTCCACTTGTTTGTATATTCCTCAATTTCCTTTTTCAATGTCCTATAGTTTTCTGAGTACAGGTCTTTTATTTCCTTGGTTACGTTTATTCCTAAGTATCTTAATTTTTTGTTGCAATGGTAAATGGTTTCTTTGTTGTTGTTTTTTTGTTTTTGTGTTTTGTTTTCTTTTTTAGTTTCTCTTTCTGAGAGTTCATTATTGTTGTATAAAAATACCATTGACTTCAGTATGTTCATTTTGTATCCTGATATTTTACCAAATTTATTTATTAAATCTAGCAGTTTTTTTGTGGAGACTTTAGTGTTTCTCCATGTACAATGTTATGTCATCAGTGAGTAATGAATTTTACTTCCTTCTTTTCAATTTAGATGCCCTTTATTTCTTCTTGTATGATCTTTGTGGCTAAACTTCTAGTACTATGTTGATTAAGAGTGGTGCAACCAGACATCCCTGTTTTGTTTCTGATCTTAAGAGAAATACTTTTAATTTTTGTGCATTGAGTATAGTGTTGGCTATAGGTTTGTCATATAAGCCTTCATTATGTTAAGGTATGATCCCTCTATTCTAAATTTGCTGAAAGTTTTTATCAAAAATGGATGATGGGTCCTGGCTACTTTGGCTCAACTGTAGAGCATTGGCCCATGAACCAATGAGTCATTGGATTGATTCTGGTCAAGGGCACTTACTTTTGTTGCAGTTCGTCCCAGATCCCGATCGGGGTTGTGTAGGAGGCAATCAGTTGATGTGTCCCTCTGATGTTGATGTTTCTCTCTCTCTCCCTTTCTCTCCCTCTCTCTCCTTCCCACTCTGAAGATACATTGAAAAATATCCTCAGGTGAGGATTAAAAAAAAATGGGTAATGGATTTTGTTGAATGATTTTTCTGCATCTATTGATACAATCATATAATTTTTATAAATTATTTTTTCTTTATTGATATATTAGAGAGAGAGGAAGGGAGAGGGAGAGAGAGTTAGAAACACTGATGACCAAGAACATTGATTGGCCACCTCCTGCATGTTCCCTACTGGGGATAAGGCCCACAACCTAGGCATGTGCCCTGACCGGAAATTGAACCAGCAACCTCTTAGTGCATGGGTTGATGCTCAACCACTGAGCAACACCGGCCGGGCTAATCATATAATTTTTACCTTTCATTTTTGTGTATGTGGTGGATCATATTTATTGATTTGAGTATATTGAACCATCCTTGTATCCCCAGAATAAATCCCACTTAGTCATGGTGTATGATGATCTTAATATATTGCTGGATCCGATTTGCTAACATTTTGTTCAGGATTTTAGCACCTATGTTCATATTAGGCTGTAGTTTTCTTTCTTGTAGCATCTTTATCTGGTTTTGGAATTAAGATAATGTTGGCTCCATTAAAAGAGCTTCAAAATCTTCCCTTGTCTTGAATTTTTGAAATAGTTTGAGGAGGATATGTGTTAATTCTTCTTTGAATATTTGTTAAAACTCACCTGTGAAGCCATCTGATCCAGGACTTTCATTTGCTGGGAGTTTTTATTTTTATTTTTATTTTTATTTTTGTTACTGCTTCAATTTTATTAGTTATTATTGGCTTATTCAGGTTTTTGGATTATTCCTGATTTAGTTTAGACAGATATTATGTTTTTAAGAATTTGTCCATTTTGCCAAAGTTGTACAGTTTGTTGGCATATAGTTGTTTAAATTATTTTATTACAATCCTTTTTATTTCTGTGACATTATTTGTTACATTGTCTCTTTCATTTCTGATTTTATTTATTTGGGTCCTTTCTCTTTTTTTCTTCTTACATCTTGGTAAAGGTTCATCGATATTGTTTATATTTCCAAAGAACCAGCTCTTTGTTTCATTGATCATTTGTATTGCTTATTTTTTTAGTCAGTATGTCATTTATTTTTGTTCTGATCTTTATTATTTCCTTTGTTCTACTTACTCTGGGCTTTCCTTGTTCTCTTTCTAATTCTTTTAGTTGTAGGGGTAGATGGTTTGTTTGAGCCTTTTCTTATATCTGGAGGTAGGTCTTTAAACGCTGTGAACTTCCCTCTTAGGACTGCTTTAGTTGTGTCCCATAGATTTTGTGTTGTTGTGTGTTTACTTTCATTTGTTCCCAGCCAGTTTTTGATTTTTGCCTTGATCTAATAGGTAACTTATTCTTTGTTTAGTACCAACCTATTTAGTTTCCATGTGTTTGAACGTTTTTAAGTTTTTTTTAAATTGTAGTGATTTCTAGCTTCATGTCATTGTGATCTGAGGAGATGCTTGGTATGCTTTCAATCTATTTGAATTTTTTAAAACTTATTTTGTGTCCTATCACATGGTCTATCTTTGAGAATGATCCATGATCCCTTGAGAAGAATGTGTATTCTGCCACTTTGGGATGGAATGTTCAGTAAATATCAATGAAATCCATTTGATCTAGTGTGTCATTTAAGGATGCTATTTCCTTACTGAATTTTTTGTCTGGAAGATCTATTCAGTGATGTCAGTGGGGTGCTAAAGTCCCCTACTATGACTATATTGATGTCATTCTTTCCTTCAAAGTCTTCCAAAGTTTTTAAAAAATATATTTAGGTGTTTCTATATTGGGTGTGTATATATTACACTGATTATATTTCTTATTGGATCAATCGTTTTAGTATTATGTTGTGTACTTCTTTGTCCCTTGTTATGATCCTTGTTTTGAAGTCTATTTTGTCAGATATGAGTATTACTACCCCATATTTTATTCACTTGCATCCTTGCACAGGGGCCATGCTAATCTCTTCTGTATCATTCCACTTTTAGTATATATGCTGCCAAAGTGAACACCAGACTTACTGAGTTTGCTCAATTATTATCTGAACATGATCATAATTTTAACAACAGACATGGCTTTCTTCACCTTCACCTAAAGGACCTCTATTCAGCTTTTAGACCCCAGCTCAAATATCATCTCTTCTGTAAAACTTTCTCATTTGCCGTAGAATTAATAATACTTGTTATTTTGTATTGAAGTAATCTGTTAGCAAACACTCCCTCTACTAGATATTTATATATGTATTTTGTTCAGTAGATAGAAGGTGTTCAAAAACATTTTTTTTCCTTGAATTAAAATACTTGTACACTTTATCCTGTATCTAGTTTCAATCTTTCCGTGACAACTCTTTTAAAACATTTCTGTGTAGTCAGAGAAATTACCTTTAAAACACTTATAATCAATATAGTAATTAACTAACAGTAGTACCATGGGAAGAACCCAGGGAGAATCTTTATGCGATTAATTCATTCTGAAACTGTTATGTATTTGTTCTCTTAACAAATGATAATTTCAATACCTGCTAAATATCAGATACTGTGATAGACACAAATATAGTAAGATATAAGGAGGGATTAGAAACAGATGTAGTTTTTAAGTATTTTATAATTTACTCATGGATTATCTTACCACATAAATGAAGATAAATTATTATGGAAAATAAAAAAGTAGGAATATTTAGTGGAGGAAAATGCATTCATACTAAACCATGTAATAAAAGTAAACCTAAAAGGAATGATAACAATATTCACAGTAAGAGTCATTTGCAATGACTAAATAAACTTTTATACATAAAATCAATATCTAAACAATATAGATCTATAAAAATGTTTAGTATTATAATTTCAATACAGAGAAGTATAGTTAAAGAGGATTTTTAATAAAAAAAATAGCAAGAACAGAAATTCCATAGTTTTGTCTTCTTACATAGTAAGTAAAAAATCATTGCAGAAAAAGAACTACAGTAAAATGAGAAAAATCTTGGACATTTTTTTCCCTATGTATAGCTAATGAAGAATTTTGGATGGATGGGATTAAGAGTGCATGGGGGTTCTTCATTCTTTTATTAGCCAAGAACAATATATTCCTAGACACAGAATAGGAAACAAAAAATAAATTCTTAATACTAATGTGAAATATTATGAATAGGATGGTTAGCAGATTAGCTTCTTTTTTCATAAAAGATTAGGATATAGAATAGTGATCCATGAAAAATCTTATTTTCCCCCAATTCTTAACTGAAGATAATGTTTTTATTGACTTTAGATAGAGAGAAGGGGGAGAGAAAAAGAATAACATCGATGTGAGAGAGAAACACTGACTGGTTGCCTCCTATTCGTGCCCAGCTGGGGATCAAACCCACAATCTAGGTATGTACACTGACCAGAAATTGAACTCTCAACCATTTGGTGTATGGGATAGTTTTCCTACCAACTGAACCACCTGGGTAGGGCTCCATAAAATAATCTTTTTTTCCCATTGATTTATTTTTATTTTTATTTTTTGAAAGGGAGGGAGGTGGAGAGAGAAACGTCGATCTTGAGAGACACATCAATTGGTTGCCTCCTGCACAGCCCTAGTCGGGGCCAGGGAAACCTGTAACCGAGGTACATGTCCTTGACTGGAATTAAACCCTCTACCCTTTGGTCCGAGGGCCAGTGGTCTAACTGCTGAGCCAAACTGGCCAAGGATACATGAAAAATCTTGATTAAATCATTCAAATACCAATTTTCTAAGTAACAATAGTCTTTTATGAGTGGAATTTAAAAATCAAAAAATGAAAATTAAAGAAAAATGATAACAATAAAAATGATATGCCATGACACAAAAGAAAAATATAATTTCACAGTCACATAAATAACAAATGTTAGCAGGTTGGGGTAAATGGCTTCATATTTAGAAAAATTTAGTAAAATCAATATCAATATTAAATAAATTGTCTTTATACCCATTGAAACTTAAAATTCACATTTAATGCCAGTTTCACTGTTTCTATGCCAGTCTATTTTAAACAAAAGAAGAACATTTGCTAAATATTATTTGTATGTGTATCCATTTTCCATTTTTCTTAATTGTAAAATACAGTACCATTTTTAAAGTAAAAATATACTTACTCAAATGAGGATTAACAGGAGCTACAAAAAAGCAAAAAATAATGTTAGCATGGTTTGAATGACTTTTATCAATAAAAGTCTAATCAGTGTCTCATAGTTCTTTATCAGAACTTGATGATCTTCCCCACTGTGACCATGGAGAATTATATCTGCAATCCATTTTGTTCTAGGGGATTGAACAGACCCTACTTTGGAGCTCAGTAATAACAGCCTGAAAGTACCCCAAAAATCAATGTTTAATAGCATGTGGAATTTGTTATTTTCCAAAAAATGTAGTTGTTGACCTTTTGTATCTTAATTAGTGCGAAGCAAAACCCAGACATCAAAACTGAGGCTGACACTAGGCTGACATATAATCTAGATGTTTTCATAATAAAGCAATTATCCAGCAAAGATTATACCTTAGTTTTTTGTCTATGTACTTCTGGTGAAAATAACAATGGTATATATGAAAATAAACAATCCTCATATCATATTCTATATGTGTCCTAAAACAAATAGCCACTTCAGTGCTTCTTGGTTTAATTACATTAACACACACACACACACACACACACTCACTCACAGAATTTTCAAATGAAAAGAAACACATTTGTGTTTTTGTGCACCAGAAGAAATATTTATCTGAAAAAACTAACTGTGTTTGCAAAACAAGTGCCAACTGATTTCTTTAAAAAATATATATTTTATTGATTATTAGAGAGTAAGGGAGAGAAACATCGATGGGAGAGAGAAACATGGATTGGCTGCTTCCTGTGCTCCCCCTACTGGGGATTGAGCCCACAACCTGAACATGTGCCCTGACCTGGAATTGGACCAGCAGCCTTTCAGGTGCATAGAACAATGCCCAACCAACTGAGCCACACCAGCCAGGGTGCCAACTGATTTCTACTTGAAGAGGAATAAACACTGTACATTTTACTGAAACAACAACAAAATTATATCTAACCTAACAGTCAAAATGTTATCTGTACATATTGATTAATCATTTACCATTTGAAAAAAAATTCCATTCTGGATGAAGAAAAGCATTATTGTAGTCTCCCAAGATTACAATGGGCAGTTATTCTAACCTGCAGAAGTTTATATACTGTGTTGTTAATTTCTAATGTTTGTTATTGACCACTTATGTTAAACTTGGATATTACTAGTTAAGGATTAAAGTCAATAATTTCATACACATGCACAAACATGCTTATGTATAATTCTTGCATTAGTACACTGAGATCAATTTTAACAAAGTGGGTTTCTCAGTTACTTAATTTTGTTATTTCCACATTCAGAAGACAAACCATTCCCATTACTTTAGTTGTTTTTCTTATTCTGTATTCCCCATTTAAAATTATGAAAGGAATAACATGGAGAAGGGACTATACATTTATTAGCTCCACTGACATGGAGAAAAATAATGCTTTTTTTGCAAAATATCAATATATTTTAATTTACAATTAATTTTAAAAATTTTAATTATTTCATAATTAATAAAATATAAAATTGTTTATGTATTATCTTTCTCAGAATTAAGCATTCTTGCCTGGCCAGTGTGGCTCAGTGGTTGAGCATCGACCCATGCACCAAGAGGTCGCCGGTTCAATTCCCAGTCAGGGCATGTACCCAGGTTGTGGGCCTGGCCCCTAGTCAGGGGGCATGCAGGAGGCCGCCAATTGATATTTTCTCTCAAAAATGTTTCTATCTCTCTCTCCTTACCTCTCTAAAATTTAATTAAAAAAAACTTTTTTTTTAAAGAAGTGAGCATTCTTGAATTATAATTTAATTCTAAGAAGTAGTTTGCAGCTACAGGCAACCTCTGACCAGTCAAATTTTGTATTATTTTTTAATTAAAGTTTACTGTCAATATTATTTTGTAGGGTTTAAGCTGTACAGCATAATGGTTAGACAATCATATACTTTACAAAGTATTCCTTCCAATATTTCCAGTACCCATCTGGCACTGTACATAGTATTGTAATATTATTGACTATATTCCCTATGGTGTACTTCACATCCCTGTGACTATTTTGTAACTACCAGTTTGTGCTTCTCAATCCCTTCACGTTTTTTACCCAGTACTCCAACTTTCCCCCTCTCTGGCAGCCACCATTCTGATCTCTGTGTCTATGAGTGACCAGGTTGAATTTCAATGGAGTCTCCTATGATATTTTTAGTCATCCAATTCACTATAAATAGTACTATTGCCCTTAAGAAAATCTACCATTCTAAATTCTGAATATTGCAATGAGTTTGTTTCTTCTTTCAATGGAACTTACATGTCTAATTCTATACATGTCTATATACTAAAGTATACTTTACCCTAATCTATATTATATAAAATTACTAAATTTTTATGTAAATGTTTACAATTTTATTAAGTATATAAAGATAATTAAATAAAATTGAAACAACATAATATTTATTTTCAAGATTTATTGCTCATTTTAGTTTGTTGCCTTATATTTTTCAATAAGAACTACTGAGTTCAGGAAGAATTTTTTCTATATCTCTTTAAGAAAAGTCATAATAATTTCGGAACTTTGTAAAGACGCATAGATACGCTGTCACTGAGTGAAGAGCCCTAGTTCTATCAGCATTTATCATTTCATAATTGTTTAACTTTATAAGACACTGAAACTTTCTGGGTCTAACATCTTCATCTTTATAAATAAATATTAATGTATAGTTTCTAATACCCCTCCGTATTAAACAGTCCAGAGTTTTATATCTTAGGGGCAAGTAAAATAAACATTAAATAAGAGAAGATATTGATCACCACGTATTTGGCCCCTTTACCCTTTTCTACCCCTACACCCTCTTTGGGTGGTGGGCATACAATGCAACATACAGACCATGTAACATACAAGTGTATACTTTAAACCTATATAATCTTATTCACCAATATTACC